TGCCCTTTCACAGAGCACCGTGGGGAGCGGCAGGGGCCTCCCAGGCCGGCTGCTGACTCTCTGTGTGACAGGAGCAAGACCCGGCACCTCCCTGAGCCCGTTCCCAACACCTGGGCGGTGTCTGTCCGGTTGTGAAGACGGACTAATGACGAGTAAGACACGGAGGCCCAGGAGGCCAAGGACTTGCCCAAGGCCACGCAGGGAGCTGGGGAGAGCGGAGACCAGAGAGCAGCCCCTCCCACACCACCACGTCCAAGGTCAGCTGCAGTGAGGTATCGGGGGGAGCTGCACCCCCAGCCCACCGGGACACCCCCACCCCTCTCAGCCAGCCTGAGGCAGGCGCCACTCACCTGATTTTTCGGCCCCGGATCCACGGGAGATATGGCAGCTTCTTGACAATGATGGTGCCGTCATAGAAGGAGGGCTGGCAGCTCTGGGCGATGGCGTTGGCCGCCAGCACCGCCATCAGCACGGGCAGCGCATGCACGATCTGGCCGGTCAGCTCGAAGGCCAGCAGCGCCGTGGAGATGGTGTGGGTCACGGCCCCTGAGAAGGCCGCAGCCCCTGCGGGGGGCAGAGCCAGGGCAGGCGGCTCAGGCCAGGGGCCAGCTTCCCGCAGAGGGCGGGGCTGGGGAGGCTGTGGCCATGGGCCGGGTGGGACTTGTCCAGAGGCCACACGCTGGCCACCATTCGAGCGCCCAAAGCCTGGGCTCGGTGAGGGGAGAGCAGTGAGGGCGGGGATGAGGGACCAGGGACAAGACAGGCGCTGGAGAGAGTAATGGGGCTCAGGGAAGGGTGGGGGCTCACTGGGGGGCTCTGCGACCACCCTATGCCCTGCAGAACCGCTGGCTGATCCTCCAGGTCCAGCCCACCCAGTGGGGCCCTGGCCCACTTACCTGCCAGGGCATACCCTCCGGGCATGATGGGGTTGGTGACCCCTCCGGCCACGATGCCCTCAGGGAAGGCGACAGAGAGGGCCTCCCCTATGAGGCGCCCAACGGCAGCTCCTAGCCACAGACTTCGGGTGAGAGGGCTGACCCGGCCCCTCAGCCCTCCATCCTTGGGGACGACCTCAGTACCATGCTGGGGAGGGAGGGGTGGACCAGGAGCCATGCCTGCCCCACAACCTGAACCTCTAAGACCCTCAGGACCCCAGACTCACCGAAGATGAATATGGGCATAAAGTAGCCAGCGGGCATGGGGATGGTGGTGGCCAGGATCAGCATCCAGAACTGCGGGTGGGGAACCCAGAGGGGCAGAGGCTCGAGGCAGCTGGGCCATAGTGGGCAAGGGAGGGGCAGGACAGGGGACAGGGCGTGTCCCAGGGAGAAAGAGGGTGCTCAGGCGCATTGCCGGGGGCTGGTGCCAGAGAAGGCGTTGGCCAGCAAAAGGAGCCTGACGCTGACAAAGTGCCTACTGTGTGCCAGGGGCTCTCCTTCCTTCCCTCTCAACCTTACCTTTGAGGTAGGCGCCATAACTATCCCATTTTAAAGATAGGGAAACCAAGGCTCAGAGAGCCGGAGCGACTAGGCCCGGACACACAGCGGGCAAGGGTCAGGCCAGGGAGCGTGGGCGGAAGGCCCAGGTGCTGTGCTGCATGCCGGGGGAGGCACCCCATCCCCCCCATGACTGGTCTCGGCTGTAGGCACACGCCTGGGGGCCCCGGGGCGCCCACCTTCATAACCAGGAAGAAGGCAAGGGTCCCAAAGATGGTGAACCGCGGGTGGTACCACTCGAACCACAGGTTCTGGGGGTCGGGCTCGGCAGGCCAGGGCGGGGACGAGTTCCGGGTGATCAGTGCCCATGAGTTGTTGTCAAACAGTGTGTCCAGGTGCTGCTTCATAGACAGCTGGAGCGGGGTGCCGGTGGGGGGAGCTCAGAAATCTGCAGGAGGGCCCCCTGCCACCCCTCCGGGCAGCCGTCCCCCCACCCCCCACTGCCTGACCTGGCCTTCCACCCTCTCCCCCACTTCCCAGTGTAGGGGACTTGGGAGCTGCTCGAACCTCCCCTTCGTGGGGATTGAGGGAAATGACAGGAACTAAGTGGAAACAAATTGGGGTCCCCCCTCCCACTGCCCCAGCTCAGGGCCCCTTACCCGAGAAGCCATGAAGCGGCCCACGCCAGGGGGGTAGGTGATGGAGGCGAGAACCAGGGCGGCCAGGGCGGAGTACAGGGGCTTGCTGTGGGGGTGCAGGGGGAGCTCCAGGGCCACTCCCCCCTTCGCCCCCACCTCATGGCCCACCACCCGTGGGGGCTGACACTGGGGCAGGAACAGGAGGAGGGTCCGT